CAATATATCGTAAGGAACTTTTATACTCATTTTACACAGAAGTTACTTTTCTTTATTATCACCGATGAGATGTTAATTCTCCGCTCATTTATGCATACACGTAACATGTTTGTCAAAGTTTATATGACTATTTACACCAAGAAACTGGAAGCACTGAAGCCCTCCTGCAGGTTCACGTGTGCAACTGTAGAGATGTTGAAGAACATATTCAAGTCGTCTGAAAAAAACACTCGTTAAAATAATTTTCAGATTTAAAAAGTAATACAAGTAATACGTTTGGGGAAAGTTAAGCAATTGTATATACTTAAATGCACGTGGTTTGGTACGTAGTAATATACGCCTAAGCAAAGAGTAAGATTGAACACGATTTTCATTCTTGTTCTTATGCTTGACTTCAATCACGTAGGTAATCATTCATATTAGGAGGTATAGTATTATCATATACAGAGAGAGGAGAGAGGACACACCCACGCCCAAGAGAGGCAGGACACACCACGCACAGAGAGGCAGGAACACCCACGCACAGAGACGGCATGGGCAGGAAAGAAAAAAAGGGGGGAAAAAAGGAAGGAAAAAGGAGAGGGGGAAGGGGAAAAAAAAAAGAATAGGGGAAAGGAGGGGGGGAAAGAAAGAGGGAGAAAAGAAAAAAAAAGGAAAAAGCGGAAAAGGGAAAGGGGAAGGAGGGAAAGAGGAACAAGGAGGAGTAGAGAGAGAGGGAAAAGGAAGACACACCCACGCACAGAGAGGGAGGACACACCCACGCACAGAGAGGGAGGACACACCCACGCACAGATATTGCGTGGCTGCATGTGCTGAAATAGGCTCTGCGATCCTGTAGTATTGGAGTATTGACGGTTTTCAATTGTTTTCGGTGGCGACTAAACCAGGCTGGGGTGTGGATTTGTGGTAGTCGAAGACGTTATGCATGTCCCAGAAGTTGGTTTTACCTTAATAAAAAGTATATATTTTTATTGTGTTTATGCCGCTTGATGCGATACTTTATAGAACTTACTTCTATAGAAACAGTTTTATGTTGGGAACCACCTTTTCTTAAATTTAGAAATCGGCGTAGGGCAATATATATATATATATATATATATATATATATATATATATATATATATATATATATATATATAACACTATATCAGTAAATATATGTTATATATATTCTGTAACTGTGAAATGTTATTTTTCCATGTGCCTTTTTCTGTTGTGTACCTCATATGCAGAACAACGTTAATCATCTCGCAGTTCGTCAATTCATTTAATTAATCCTCACGATTGTAAAATTAGTATCCGATGTTCTTCCAACACAGTACGCATAATTTGGTTTTTGTAATTTTTTTACAAAAATCTTTTTCTTCGTACAATTGTCACCTTGTCTCAAATTGTGGTTTTATTCTTAATATGTTTAAATATTAAAAACGCGAACCAGACCATCAAAGAGTAATCTACGTAAAATCGGATTGCACCCTTTTTGCAAATCTTGCAGTTCTAAATACTTCATTTACCACATGTTAATTATATTAACACATCTGCTTAGCATTTCTTTTCACCGTCTGATATTCAGTACCCATGAACTCTGATATTCAGTGCTAGACACCTACGTATCAAAATGATACGTAGTTCATGTTACTTTACCCGTAGGCCGTAACTCTTACCATTTTCGAAATTTAAATGATTCCTTTCATTGTCATTTACCAATGTTACTATTAAATCTCGTTACATTGCATGACAGGTATAAATATTTAAACATTCAACATTTCTACATTTCGTTGATGTAGTTATAATTAAATACAAACATTGAAAAAATGTGTTCATGACATAATAAACCCCTGAACATATTGCGCGACGTAGTATGTACAAGTCTATGGCGAAATAAATCAGCTGAGGCTGTGCGTTGACAAAAACACACACAGATACATAACTGTCACAGGTATATTACAATACTTCAATATTTATCATGTAGGATAGTTACAATGATATTGCTACATGGATTCCACTCAGACACCAATAAAACTCACGTTTGTACACTGCTCAACATACAGATGAAAAATATTTCGTAATACTAACTGCAAGTGGTGTAACAACGCAACCCGTAATACAGTTGCCACAAAGACAAATAGACCTCCTGACTTAAATCAGTATTTAAAATAATATTTCTTTATATCAATATACTTTATAATTTTGCAAATGTTGATACTGGCAAATACACTGCAATTCTAATTGAGGCTGAAAATGTTCACATAGTCTGCTTGAGTAGGAACGCAACCCCACACGCTGAAATATCAGACTCTAAAAATCAGAACAATTTTACTAGGCATGACCAGAGGGTTATTTCCCTAATAATCTACACTTAATGGCTAATAAAAATCCAAAACGTTGTAGTCTAACATTAGTACATAATTATAGATTATTGCCGAGTTTATTGTAGGGTTCTAAAGCGTAGATTGTCTTCCTCATACGTTGGGTTTATGCTTTTCTTTTAACGATAATTGAAAAAAAGAAACGTGCAGAACCAACGAGAGTTGTTGGCTTTTAACAACGGTGATTCATCCGCCCTCAAGACGTATCAACAGGCGATGTGTAAATAATATTTTAAAAATGAGATCTATATAATTTCGAGTGTTATGATTTGAAGCACTACACCTATTTCATATCTGATATAAAATAATTATATAAATATCATATAATAAACTGCATTTGATATTATTAAATGCACTTGTACTCAAATTTAATAATGTGAACAAAACGCCCCTAATGTAAATATAAACAGCGTAAGAGACAAGTTAAAAAAATACATTTTTGTTAATTTCAAAAAACCAAAATTATATAGAACCATGGTCTTTATGTTATAGAGTAGAATACATTTAGCACTATTCATACCAGAAGTTAAATGAAAAAATTTGGAGGCGTTTGAGAAAATCTTTCCGTTATTTTTTAAATTGCTCATATTGCACGACTTTTGTGCGAAAACTGCTAACATTTTTTTAAAAAAGTAAATGAACTTAATAAAAGAACTGACAATGGAGAACAAATTTTATTGAAAGAGAAAGTCATATCTTCAATTTTTGTAGTTTAAGGAAGGCTCCGCAGAAAATTTAAAGTGATCAAATATCGAAAATTCAGAGTTAACTGTAAAAAGATGACCTGCACCATCTGCTTAACTGTATTTGACTATATTCTTACAAGAAAAAGAAAAAATTGAGCCGTTTTTGAGAAAGTTTTGAAAATGTCCAGGGGCCCCCAATTTTAAAGTAAGTTTTTCAAAATTGCTGCGCCTGGAGTGTAAGATCTACTGGGCAATATTAATTTTGGAAAACCTCGTACGTATTGTTTAGACGACGGTCAGACGGCCAATACCAACACCAGTTTTCAGCACATACTTTCTCACGTTATTGGAAACCGCTACGCAATATATGTATTGCATTTTTTTGGCTACTAACACCTCACCCAATTATTGAAAAAGGCGAATTCAAAAACAAAGCGCCTGTGTCGAGTATCTGCATTCATTTCGATAGTCAGGAGCAGCAATCATATCTTACTTCGATGAAACAAACAGGAATACATTTCACAGACACAGTATTCGCAAACAATTATACAGAAGCAATGCCCTGTTGCCAGCACAGCGTTGCCGCACAGCGTAACTATGTGCATTCGATTGGCGAATAACATTTCTTTGCAGGCACTCATTTCCATCTGTATTCAGATTACAGCTTTATTTGTTCGTCGTAAACAACATACACAGTTAAGGCGGTAGAATGATTGACGGTGAAAACAACTAGCCCCTTACCGACCTAATTTTTATTTAAAAAAAGTTTAAATTAGAACAGATTATGGAAAATCTTTTACGGGCATAGTTTTAAGTTTATGAAGAAGTTACAGGGTTAATGTACTTTTTTCTTTCAAATAATACGCAGTAATGTTTTTAGGGGTCAGGTTATATTAAATGGTGTATAACATACCTCGTCGATCGTTCTGAGGATTAATTTATAAAAAGATGTTCCGGCAGTCAATGCAAACGGAATTCCTTTACCTAACAAAAGAAGCCTATTTTTGTTTGCGTAATTGCATGTTTCTGGGATTTTTATCATTAACTGCACATTTTATTTATGTGGCATATTTAAGGGCATGATATTCCACGGTGTGGGGTAAAATCGGCCGGAGGGGAAACATTTTCGTTGCTTCATATCGTTCTGTTTATAATAATGATTGAAAATATATTTATATTATACGTGTTTTGTACTATAAAATAAATATTTATATAAATGTTATCTGTTGCTCACTATATCTTAACGCATATACCGAGTTTCAAACGCGTGTATTGGATATTTTAAGTGGATAATTGCATAATCATACCATTTTTAGTGCATGATGTTTGGAGGTCTACTCATGACAAATTAAGCATAAACTAAAAATGTTTAAGCAAATATCGACTTAAATTTGACATACTGCTAAATCATAACAATGAGGCGTAATTCACATTAATTCGTGAGCGCGTCGCCGAATGCCATTGTTACATTCCCTGCAATGTTGATATTCCCTGTAAGTTAGCAATTTTTATTTGATATATTTCAAATAGCTTTTTAATAATTTAGAAAACATTAATGTGTTAATGTATAACAAAAAGTCGAATGTAAGAAACGAACCAAGCAATATTAATTAATATACAAATTCAGACTTATGAAGCATGCTACTTTGTGTAATTGTTCACGGAGCGCAGGAAGATTGCAGTGGACATTTAATTTTGTAGACAATTTACACAAAAATTACTCTTATTTTCAAAAATTTAAAGTGGCCTTATTCGTAGATCTATTTTTGGTGAACACGTTACCCATTACACAGGTCATTAAGAAAAAACGTATTTGTATAAACGTATAAATTGTACTTATAAAATGATGCCAAAAACGATGCGCAGTCAATTCGAGCGAATTATTTATTGTGAAATTATACAAAAATATGCCTAGGTATACGCTTTGAATATTGCGAAATAATTAATACTTATCTTTATATTTAGAAAGTCCAAATGCACAGCGCTCTCACTTGATATTAATTCAGAACTTCTCTAAGTACCAGTCCATGGAAGTTGGAAACTAAGTTAAGACACATCGTTGACTTTGATCTTTATGATCACCGATTTTAGATCCTACCTGAGAAAAAAAAACAGTTATAAAGGAGCTATATTGGGACATTGACATAAGTGAAAATTGAGTACTCTCAGACTCTACAAATTATACGAGTACCCGTTTGTTTTTTACTTAATCTAATTAAATATTGAAGTAACTCGCATTGCCAAATTCCAAAATAGTGGGTCATTATAATTATGTAAGGCACGTCCCTCTCTCGCACGTTGCGTAAAATTCTAAGTGCCTGAAAAATATCGAACAGACAATGAACTGTAGACAAAAACATTTAATGAATAAACTGATATCGAAATGTGAAAATAAGTATTCAATGGAATAATACGTCAAAGTTGTTAACAATATCTTACTCTTGTAAACGTGATTGGAAAATTCAAACACACTTGGAGTTAAATTGCATATTGTACTTTGAGATTGCTCTTCCAGCTCACTAGTACATTGCAGATCTTACATTTCTGAAAATCAGGTAATAATGATGATGATAATAATAATAATAATAATAATAATAATAATAATAATAATAATAATAATAATAATAATAATGGTAGAACATATCTTCCGTGAAATGTTATCTGTTGGAAAAAATTAAATTCTTATTACCTCAATATCAACACCATGTACATTGCATGGAATGTGAACTGTCTGAAAAGAAACAACACTTATCACTACTTGAGCAACGTTATTGACATTGAACAATATGCAACTCCCTATAAAAGAAAATTCCCAATTTACTAGGACAAGTATTTTAATGACTTAAATTTAAATAAACTAAATTTATTCATAACCAACTAATCTTGAAAAAAGTACCTTTACAATAAACCAAACCAATTTGTCGTTATTTTCTCCGAGTACCGAAATGTCGTTGGAAAGCAACTGCTCCCTACCAACGAAGCGTGGGGGCGGTGAGAGCAAGCCATGAGTTGCGCTGAGATTGCCTTTTGACTAACAAATACCACTGTTATTCACAGAAAACCGTGAATTGGCTGCAAATTCTGGATTCACGAGCGCTATCACATGCGTTTCATGAAATAAAAGAACCATGAAAAAGATGCGGTATATTATTAGCACAAAATTCTTCTGCTTTGGAGTAAGTTGCATGAAAGTTCTACCGAACAAAATGTAAATATTTTGACAATTCTATTGGCATTATGAAATGAAATTTGCCTCAAAATTATGCAAAACTGTTAGTAACAATAATTTGTAATAGTAGTGCACTGTTTGAGCAGTGAAAGTACCTGGAAATAAATCAATCGTTCTTACAGTCTGAATTGTGGTGACAAATTTTGGTGGTATCAATATATTGTGCACTATAGTATACGAATTCCTCACGTAGCCGCCCACTCATTTGTTTGATGTCTTGATTGAAATGGGTTCTGCAGCTTTTGTTAAATACAGATTACCTACAAAAAAGAAAAATAATTCTTATTACAGATACAATGTAGCAACGTGTTTCTGGAGTTGTAATGCACTGCATATCATGGACACGTGCTCTGTCTGATAAAATAAATATTCATTAATTGTATTGTATTCTTGTGTTAATATATTTATTAATTCACTAATAAAAACTCGGAAAATACCATCGCTAAGTTACCAATATTGCCGAACACTCACATTAAATCTAGGCTATGTTACCTCCAGCTCTCACCTACCTAAACAATTACAAACAAATACTTCAGTTGATTACAATTTGCGGTCAAATTCAAGCTATCCTAATATTCTATTCTCAAAAGAGATTGCGAAGCAGTTGTCTATGCTGTGAATAAAATTATCAATGCACATAGTCGGAAGCTTCCTTTAATAAGCTATTAAATAACTCTGCACCAGGTCCATTGAATTATGGTGGCAATTCCATTAATATACGCCAATGCAACGCTGAATTCTTGATGTGACAATCTTTATTGAGACTTACAATGCACCCGGATTGGGATAGATCCTGTAGCTCAAGAACACTTCATGAAGTACAGACTGCCTATAAAGACAAAATATTTATGTTTACTAACAAAGTAGGAAGATCATTGCAACGTTTTCATGAGTCGAAATGCACTACTTACCACCATGGACATCAGTTATCAGTTTCTTAAGTTAAACAAGTAAATATGCATAAATGAATTCATTCATTAATAATAATGTTGAAAACATTTGCTGAAATCTAAACATTCTTATTCACACACCCGAGTTTAGAATGAACTTGGGCTGACATGGCTCCTCCATCTTTCATGTGAAGTGCATGAAGTGTACCTAAAATATCCAATAAGTAATGATTACTCACTGACATTGAATTATGAGTAAATGCAAATTCTACTATTCTTTGATAGATAACGAACTTTATGTGCAACGTCGCTGCCCATGCTCGGAAACAAATTGTTGATGCCCGTGGAATTAAATGGATCTGTCAACAACAATAATAATTATTATTGAAAAAACACTGAACACATGATTGATGGAAGAATTATAATACCATTATTTTAAGAATTAAAACTGAATTCCCCATGCAAATAGCTTTATTGGGACTCCGCAGTACGCATGTACTAAGACGATTACGGGATCATACTCTATATTTCACCCGTTCTATTAAATGGAGATGCTAAGAGAAAATTGCCATCAAAATATCACACATTTCAGATACAGCAACTCAAGAAGAATATAACACCACGTCTGAAAAATAGCAAAGACTAATTAAATGAATTGTATTGATATAATTCCAAGCACTTTTTAACTTTATTTTGTAATTTTTGTACCTATCCTAAGGTCGTAAAGGTAGATGAAATACGGAAAACTTTACATGAAAACATTTCAAAGAATACTAAAAACAATTGTTTGATTTGACGTCAGCGATATAACACAAAATATAACCTGCTTGAAAAATGAGCAAACAACACATTTTAATGAATTAATTGCCTTAAGATAACACACAAACATGTGAATTGCTACACAATACCGAACATGCTCTTTGAGATTTCGAAAATATTATGCTACATCTACTCGCCATACAGTTTACTTCCTTAACGACACTACTGCGTGAAATGCAACTCTCACATGCTAATCAATAGAATATTTTGGTACGTTCTAAAGTCAACCATACATTCATTGCAATATGTATTGCGTCGGTCGGACTTCTCTCCAAACGAAACAGTCTTCAAGATCAATCTGTTGAAATTGAAATGCATATTACTATAAAATACAATTGGCACTCGGCCAAGGAAACATTAAAAAATGTTGATATGACTAAATTTGGGAACGACTAATCTAAACCTATACAATACGTTTCTTTAGTCTTATGTTAAATGTGTCATAAAATTTTAATGTAATAGAGTCAATTTTTTCACAAATTTGTTAATAGAAATGAAAGATGCACAATTCTCAAATCCTAGGCAATACGTATTGTAACTAAATTGTAAGATCATACATTGCAACATATATTTACTGTGAAATGCAAACCAAATATACGTAAATCTATGGAGTTGTGATCATATTCAAAGACACAATTGGCATGAAAAATGCTGCTTAAAATACATGCTGCCTGAAATGCCCTGAACAATTTACCACCGAATTTTAAAAAAGTATCCGTTGCTTAGCGTACCCTGAAAAAGAAAAAAAAATATTAACCAAAACCATAAAATTGTAATAGCAAAATGTTGAATGAAATTAAGTGATGTGAAAAAATAACAAATTATTTAAATTTTCAATTGTAAAAGCATTTGTAATTGCATTTTCTACAAAAGTTCAGTAGTTTGAAAATCAACATACACACTAAGAAAGATTTGAATGGTTACTCAGACTGTTCGAAATGTAAGGTATCTAAAGAACAAATTGACTACATTGCAATGGCATAACTCAATCACAGTCTTAAAAAACATGTTACGCTGAAATAAAATACGAGGAATTACTTACACAAGAATTACCTTTAGTCACACACGCCACAATGTTTCAATGCATCTGGGTTGGGCTATTTCTTCTTGCTCATGTACGTACAATTTATTGGCTTAATAGTATTTTTTTAATACAGACGTCTGCATGTAAACTACCTGTAAAAAATAAATTTTGATTATGGAATGAACTGTGGCATAATATTTTGTAGGTAAGGTTTTTGTTTACTCATCTGAATGATGAAGTTGCGACGAATGGTCTAAGTGGTTGCTCGTGCGCGTTAATCTTTGAGAATTCTGAACTTAGAACGTCTCTCCATCTCACATTCGTTTAATTAAATGAATGTCTGAAAAAAAAACTTCAGAATGAATTTTAGTGACAATTTCACGCTTTTGTATAGTTGTAACCTTTTCTGATAAGTAAAATTAAGTGTAATAAATAAAAATTACTATTATCAAGAATATGACAAGAATATTACTTGTAAGAACGAATATTAAAAAACGCAATATCAACATTTCTTATTCACCTATGATTGCACAGAAACTTGAAGTCGTCCCAATACGCCTTCCACCAAGGCTATTGTTTCAGTGCAGCGTAGAGCATGGTATGCATTCTCAATACCCAATATGGTGGTTTGTGATTGATTCCTAATTCTTTAACAAATTCCTATCCCTAAATTAGTTGAAATACAGAATGTGTACGACGCAATGAGCCTGCGGACTAACCATTTTTTACGCTCATATCACTAAACCTGTTGAGCAAAGAATTCACGCGACACAGAGTGCGGTAAACCTACAGTCTTAGACCGACACAAACCTATGAGCCATCCTGGCGTGGGTGAGATTGGTCAGAAGGAAATAAATTGTACAAGAAGTTACTTCTCTTCCAGGTGGGACATCCAGTGCCAGCAGAAGATGAAAAGTAAGAATATGGGGAACCCATCAAACCTCAATGTAAATTTAAAAAATCTTCACATTACAAACTTAATGGAATACTAATAATGGAAAACTAATGACGTTAAATGAAGACCCAGAATAAGAAATTTAGATTATTCATGTGCATTCATGCTATTCATAAAGTCATTTTAACTGAACTTTAAACCATAATGTAACTGCATACACACTGCGTTCTTCAGAAGTATGAAAAAAAGAAATCTAAGGGAACAAAATCTTAAAAAAAAATTAATTAAATTTAAAAAGAAAAAATGAAAACTGCGACAATCATAAAGCGTACTGGATTATTTGTCGCTCATTAGAATTAAGATTATTCGGCACACAAAAAAGCTACAACAAGATTAGTTTATAATAATTGGTTTTCATCCTAAAACATTAACCGTCGTGCAAACTAACGCCATTAGCAAGTGGAAAGTAACAGACTTGAAAAAAAACAGTACGGTGTTCACGCCATACACTATTCACAATGTTCACGCCATACAC